AGCTGATTTGAGACCAACACCATGCCAGGGTTATCAGATCCATGGAGGGAGAGTGGATCTATATCTCGAGTGTAGATACCTCTTCCAATTATTTCACGACCGTGCTCGTTGTTGTTGTTGAGCGCCATTGTCTAACCTGCTCTGATACCATGTAGAGCTGAGTAATTTCTGGATAATATATGTAAATCAAACAACAAATCGATATGGTGCGAACTCCATTTTCAACTGAGCTTCAAGCTCTGTAAAAGTTCAGAATTCAATTGGGGAAGAAGTACAGTACTCACATATTAATACCTAATTCCATAATGACCAATTACCAACTAAACACGTGCCAACTAATAGCACGTGAGAGGAAAATAAAGAGCAGCAAAAAAAACAAACGCGCTTTAATAAGAAAGACGCGACTTAATGAAAACATAGAAAAAAAACTAAAAGCATTAAATGAAGAAGCCGCATGTATATCTGAGTGGTGCTGCATGAGCTTCAAAGCATGAACTTCAACACATAAATCCTGAAAACAAAATTAGCAAACTCAAGAACTGATTCTCATTGAAAATCCGAGCAAACAATACTACAAATAGACAAGGGATTTTTGCAGTAGAAATTGAAAGCGTGGCTAACAGGTGGTGGATAAACGTCTAGTAAAATACAGTTTGAAAGGAAGAGATATTAATAAGAAGCCCCAGCTGCCTGCTTCTATTGGGGGCTAAAAGATTTGCAACTGAGCAGATATGGTTATTTGAGAGCTTTTATTGGATTGACCCGAATTGACCCTTCAGAGCCAAAAGGGCCTTCTCGGTTATTTGAGGGTAGCCCAAAATATGCAAATTATTGTGTTAATCAATATTTTTTTTTATATATATAAAAATGGGTAATTATAGTATCAAATATGATATTTTTGTTAATATATTGTTTTTCAGAATATGATATTTTAGTTTAAAATTATGCAGTCTTTAAAAAAAGTATGACAATTTAACCATTAAGTTTGCCTATTTAATTGTATTCAAAGTTTTAAAATGTCCCTTAAATTCTTAAATGAATACATTTTCTTCAATTAACTTCTAATAGATGTCATTTCTATCTTTTTTTTCTATTGTTATGATAGGGCTGCACATTCGGTCGAAACCAAACATAACTGGCCGAATTATCAATTAGTCGAAAATAGGGTTTATCCATTATAAGAATCGAAATTTAGTGTTCAGTTTAGTTTTTAACCAAAATTCCAACCGTCGGTTCAGTTCGACTATCGATTAACAGCAATAAATAATTATTCTTCTCAATATCGAATTTCTAATCAAACAAAAAATTTGATTTTTTATGTGAACCAAAAAAAAAACAAAAAAAAAAATTAATTAATTTTTATCGCCTTGTTTAATCGACATCTCAGTTAACGAATACAAGTTGATTCAGTTCCAGTTTCGCATTTTATTGTTACCACAAGAGTCGGTTCGGTATCGGTTTGACTTAGCAGTACGGTTGCCGAACCGATAATAACCTTAGTTGCTAATGCTCATCAGTTTGTCCAACGCACCCATAACTTTCATGTGTGTCATGAACCAGGCGCTTCGTAGCCTAATTGGTAAGTGTGTTGTTGTTTATTTCGATGACATACTTATAGTCGTTCAGTCGATGAGTATTTGTGCCACGTTTGCTCCGTGCTGCTAATTTTGCGAGCGGAGCAGTTCTATGAAGCCTCGAGGAAATGTTTCTTTTTGTTCGACTTGGTGTTGTTTCTAGGTTACTAGATTTTGATAGTTGGGATTCCCCTGGAGGAGAGTAAGGTGGCGGAAATTCAGGATTGGCTGACGCCCACCTTGTTTACTGAGGTGCTCAGTTTCCACGGCTTGGTTTATTTTTTACCGGCGTTTTATTTCCCCCTTCTGTTTTGTAGAATTTTGGGCAAGAGATAACCGAGTTACCCGACTCGGGTCGTTCTCAAAAGGAAGACGGTTCAGAGCTTCGTTTACTAATTAATTGTTCAAATCACGAAAAGAGAAAATAAATTCTAAACATCCTAATCAATGAGTTTGGGGTTGAATCAACACTAGACGACCAAATGATTACGAGCAATAGCAAATATCGAGCAAATTATGAAACTAGACTATTGGAGTCTCATGCCATCAACACAACGAGATGAAAGTCAACGACGAAGAGAAATAAACGAGCTATGAGCATTAGGTCACTAACCCTAGTCTTCTAACCCAAAGTGATTAAGCTCTAATAAGAGTCCTAACCCTTCTAGATAGGCAAACAATTAATCCCTAAAACTACTCAAGCAATCAATAAAATCAAGCAAGTCCCACCTTTCCCTCCATCATCCACAATACTCAAATTCACCTTAATAATCATTATAAGTAAAAATGAGGCAAAAATCGAAGTAATGAGAATTAAATCTAATTACACAATCTTCTATTGCATAGTAGATGAAAAACAGAGTCAAAAGCTCGAAACTTGAATGAAAACGAAGTCGCTAGAGAAACTTCTGGAAAATGACATAAGCTCCTTAGTCTAGAGAGAAAACATAAAACATAAGCTAAGTTCCTAAAAAAGAAAAATGATATAATGAAAGGTGGATGTCCAAAATTCAAAGGAAAAAAATATATATATAGTGTATCTCCAAAAACACACACTAAGTGCACACATTTAATGATTCAGCAGTTCGCAGGTTGCCAAAATAGGTTCGCAGCTAGTGTGAGGGTGAAAATCAACTGGAAATGAGCTTTCGCAGGTCGCCAAAGATAGTTCGCTGCAAGTGTCGCTATGGATGCTCTGGATGTGCGGTGGGCGCGGCGCGAGTGAAGCCTCGCAGTGAGTACCGCGCCTAGCTGCTGTGTGCGCGCGGTGTTTGGCGGGTCGCGGAAACATCTTCGCAGTGAGTGCTGCTTGGTTGGGGTGATGTGCACGTTGGCTGGTCGCGGATAAAGCTTCGCTGCGAGTGCTGGGTCTGGCCTTCTCGCGCGCGTGCGCCGTCTCACGGGGCGCCACTTGATGTTCGCAGCGAGTCTGCATGTTGGTGTTGGGCGCTGGTGCGCGTGTTTCGTGGCATGCGAATGCAGTCCCGCAGCGAAGAAGCTGGGCTGCTTTGTGGATGCTTGGCTCAGCGCGAACGGCCATTGGTAGTGAGTGCTTAGCCTGGCGTCTTGTCATTGGCCCGGAACGGCTCGAGTGCTTCGTAAATGGTCTGGATGACTCAATAATGGTTCGGAAATCTTATCTTCCCAAAATTTACAAATTGGACCTAACAACACACCAAAAGAAACGCAAAAATATGGCAAAATACAAAAACATCTAATAAAAGGAAAAACACATAAAATATGACAAAATGGATCGATTGACACCCAAACGAACCTAAAAATGACTCAACTAACACATAAAACTCAAGAAAATATGCACAAAAACATAACAAACACCTTCAGTTCTATTACGGGCTCTATTACAGATTGTATGAGTAATAAGTCTTTTGTTTGGACACCACATGCAACTAACACTTCTGCTTTTATCAAGCGTAAGCTTACTTCGACTTTCGTACTGTTGTTGCTTGATTTTGCACAAACTGTTGAGTTATCGTGCGATGCTTTCAAGGTGGGCATTGAGGCAGTTTTGAGCCGGGATTCACGACCAGTAGCTTTCTTCAGCAAGGAGATTTCAAGGGGCGCGATTGCGTTACAACACGTATGATGTGAAGTTCTACGTCGTGGTGCAAGTCGTTCGTTATTAGCGGCATTATCTATTTAACAGGGTGTTTGTGTTGTACAAAGATGCGCTTTGCCACCTCGCCTCTTAGGACAATACCTCAGCTAGTCATGTTACGTGGACTTCTTATTTGCATTCACGTTTGTTCTCAAACATCATTAGAGTGCATTTAATCAGATGAAAGATGTGTTGAGTCGCTGCTCCTTTGTTTTGACGAATTTGTGGGTGACAGACTAATAGTTACGAGGTTTGAGCTGTTGCGTGAGTTGCATGAGTCAGATGTTTTTATTTTGTCCTGTGAAGTCTCGTCTTTGTTCGTGCTCGTTTGAGGACTACATTTCGTCTGATGGACTATTGACCCGTAAATTATTGAGTAATTTAATAAATTATAAATAATTGACTATTTCGTTTACGTCTAAGTAAATATTGACCAGTAAGTTATGGATAATTATTTTTTTATTTTTAATTTTAAATAAATATCTTTTATTTTTTCAATATGTTATATACCAAATTTAAACAATGCAACTAATAAATGTAATAGATACAAGTTTTGTCAATACATTATATTCCAAATTTAAATCATGTAACTAATAAAGGTAATAGCTGCAATATTTGACTAAAATGATTCTGTAAATTGATTACATTAATTTAGGCAGAATTTTTCAAATTTTGGCCAAAAATATTAGTCAATATA